AGGACGTGGCTCTGTTGGTGGGAAGCACAGGGTTGTATGGATCAGCAGCCATCCCTCTAGTGTAACACTCTATGGCCTCGTCATACTTCCCCTCTTTAAACAACTTGTTACCCTGGAAACAAGAAAAAAACAAAACAACAAAAGCAGTTGACATCTTTTAACCCCTGCCCTCTCTCTTTCTGTCTGCGTGTCACAAATAGAAACTTCATTACGTTCTCCTTCTCAGCCAGAGCTCTGTCCTTGTCCACCTCCTCCTGGTCGGACTCGTTGGACTCGGCCTCCTTGTCCATTTCTGCCAGAGCTTTATCCTGCCAACAAGAGGAAGAATGTGTAATCACCGTTTGTTGCATGAAAAGTCAGGTTGTGGAAAGCCAAGGTGAGACGTTGGGTTACCACGTCGAACTTGTCCCACGATCGATAATCACAGGATTTGAGTCTGGAAGCTGGTCTGGGCTCCTCTGCGTTCGTGTCGCCGTCAGCAGCAGGCGCCTGTTTCCTCCTCTTCTCCCTCATCTTTGACCTGTATCCCTTGTTACGCACAGGTGGAAGGGTTTTCTGCAACAAGACACACAGACATATAGAATGCCATTAGAGCCAAGGAAGAAACTGTAAAGTCCAACAGGAAGTTGTAATTACAAGTTTTAAAGTCTTAATAATAAGAGTCAAAGTCATAAAGTCCTAATAATGATATTTAAAGTCATAATTGTGAGTTTCAATATCACAATTATGAGATTAAACGTCTTAATTTTAAGACAAAATCATAATTTTGACTTTCTAAGTCCTGATTATATTCAAAGTTATGATTGTAATTTTTGCCAGTTAAATGATTAGCTTGGATTTTATTTAAGGGTATCAGTGTAAAGAAGCTGTTAACAATAGGGGACGTCCTACCTGGAGCTCCTGGACTCGTCCAGTCCTCAGCTCCTGATCCTTCCTCTTGATGTCTGCCTCCCAGTTGTCCAGCTCCCTCATGAAACTGTGAAGATCCTCCGCATTCTGCCGTATCTGCAGCTGTAACTCCACGGCCTTGTCCTCCCCGGACATGCTTCCCTCTGCCAAACAGACATTTATTTTTGGAAAACTCTTTCACTTCACTTCTCTGTGCTTTAGTCTTCACATCCAAGCAACAGCAGCAGCAGCAGCATCGAGGTAAAACACGAGAATCACGTTTTGTGATACTCCAGCAGCTAACAGCTTAGCAAAACGGAACCATCATTGGATTAAAAGAGGCCGGATATGAATGTGCTTTAATTATGGCGTTCTGAAATACCTGCCGCTTCTTTCCTGGATTCACAGTTAATTCGTAGTGACCGCTAAAGTAACAAAAGACTCCGAAAAATGTCGTTAGTCACGACATTCTGTTTATGTTCGGAGCCATGACAGCGGAGGACCAGCAGCCTTTGCTCTACGTATCCACGACGTAACCAAAGATCGTCTATAACAAAACAATCTCCGTAAAGCAAAAACAATTTATTTTATTTTATTTTAATATTTTAAATACGGAACTTTTACGAAAATGCTTCTATGAAACTGATAACTGAGCTATGTGTGTGGAATTAAGATGAGTTTATCTGTTTGGCTCACAAATTTTCGTCAGTTAGCACTACAGTTCACACTTTTCTGAAAGGAGACGACACTTGGGGAAGCCCTTAACAGTCAGCCGGTGCAAGACGCGGCTAAAAGTGACGAAGAGGCGATGAAGGTGGAATTAAATTTAGCGAAACGGGTTTTCCCCAGTTGAAGAAAGTTAGACTTATCAGAGTTAGAGTAATGAGATTTTATGACAACATTAATACGTGAAAACTTAATAGAATTTTTGCTGTGTTTGTTGTTGTAATTCTAAATTTGTAATCAGAAAATCATGTTATTTTTAAGTACAAATAGAACACAATATTAAATTTATTTCATCTTGAAATAAAAAGCGCTACAGTGTAAAAAGTACTAATGCAAAGTCGTCATTCTTTCCAGATTCACTGTAATAATTCAATATCTGAGATAATTTTAATTTGACAATAAAGCAACTCTTATTTGGAAACCAAAATAGTGTGCAAATGACGCCCACCCGGCGCACCGGTGTCTCGCCGGGTGATAAATGATGCGCACCCCCTCATATAAAACTAAAAAAGAAAATAAATACTTCATATTATAAAAATGACAGGAAAATGTTCTTTAAAGATTTCACATACCTGATATTTTAAACAATTGTTTTGTCTGAAAATTTCATCGGTCAACTTTGACCACGGAACCACGTGATGTAGAAACCCAGCAATGACCTCTCCTGTTAGCTAGCGGTGGAAAGCCCAGAGAACTTTATGCTGACATTTCCACACTGGACGTACCCAACACAATGGATCAGAACAAGCAAGATGAGGAATATGGATATGACCTCTTCCCGGAGAGAAAAGCGAGGAAACCCAAGCACATCACAATCAGAGACAACCTGTTCACATCCAGAAACAAGTGTCAGGTCATGTTAACGTTCGCCATGGAAATTAGTGAGTATCGACGCTTGCTTATGTAGCATTTTAGAGGGAAAGCCTTCCGAGCTGCGGACGTCTTAATTTGAACAAATGATGTGCTTGTTATTTGAATGCATGAGCCGTGACGGTGTGCAGCATGTAGCATTAGCTCACGGAGCTAACTGATTGGTTGTGAATGGTAGGTGGCTTCAGCTAAAGCTAACTCCTCTGTGTGCTAACTCTTCTGTGTGTCCCTGGCAGGTCCATATGCCAAACTCCTGCTCAATGCCATGAAGAACTCCGGCTGGTACGTTGGCCTACACGGCTGTCTATAACCGGAAACGACATGTTAACGTCAACTGTAACATAGATAGGATGCAAAATACAAAAGTTACTTCTACTGCTTTTTTTTTACTAAACAATATTTAAATCATCAGTGAACGTTCAGTCACATTTGCTTCTACGAATGTAATTATTGTATAATGCCGATGTGTATTTCCGAAAAGTCACTAAATATAGCAATAATGTTGCTAAGTTGGCAATAGTGGGATGACTAATGTTAAACGCACGTGCAGACTGACCCAGATATTACTTCCACTATATTTCACAAATACCAAATTTTCCCCCAGAAAACTTGCTGAGCGCGGTGGTTGGGTGCTAAGGCAGTCATTCATTCAGTGGCCCGTCGTGGTTTTGAGTTAAAAAAATGTTGACAAGAAATTTTAAAATATCACTTGATAATTATGTGCTATTAAACGATTGGATGATTAATACCTGGACACCAACTACAAAAGTCTTTAAAAAAATCAAACCTTTTTGAAAAAGACTTTAAAAAATAAGTAAAGCCTGATGGGCCACTAGGCTTAAAATACTGGAAGGGAAAACCTGAATATGATACATTTTTGGTTAATGTTTTCAAACCAAAACATTTACTTCAATCAGTGTCTGAATAATATTTTTTTTCCAGAAGTTCATTCATTTATGTTTCTCTTTAGTTTAAATTGCTGATATATTTCACAGTGCTAAAGATGTGCAATAGTGCATGTTTTAGTAGGGGCCCAATGTCAGATAAATTGAGGGGCAGTACGATACCAATACTTTTATCAATACTTTTTTTATTAATTAAGCTTGATATATCAAACGTCTGATATTTAGGGGTTTTTGTCCAAAGTTTTCATGTTTTTTTGTTGTTGTTTGAATTCTATTGTTGAAACCTTAGGATTAGAACAAAAATGTATCTGTCTTCAAAATACTTTAATAACATATTAGCAAGATTAACAGAAACAATAAAACAACAAAACAAATTAAAATTTGTTTCTAAATAAGCAAATGCATAATATATATATATATATATAAAAAAAAAATAATTCCCCTCTCACCCTCCATGGGTGGTCTCTTTCATCCTCTGAGCTCGGGTCCTCTACCAGAGGCCTGGGAGCTTGAGGGTTCTGCGCAGTATCTTGGCTGTGCCTAGAACTGCACATTTCTGGACTGAGATGTCTGATGTTGTTCCTGGGATCTGTTTGAGCCACTGCTCCAGTTTGGGGGTGACTGCCCCGAGGGCCCCGATGACCACAGGCACCACTGTGGTCTTCATCTTCCAGGCCTTCTCCAGTTCCTCTCTGAGGCCCTGGTATTTCTCCAGTTTCTCATGCTCCTTTTCC